GCCTTGACAAACTTTACAGCCTGACGATAGCCTTGATATTATTCTCCGGCCACCGATAAGCTTTCAACGCGAAACTGAACATTCAATTAAATTTCAAAATTAAAAACCTCTGGAAAATGCCTTGAATTTCTCGTTTTGCAAAGCCAAAACGCGCCGAATTTACACTGTTTCAAAACCCGGATTAATATTTTAAGGCTCAATTTAAAATTTCACAAATAACTGAATTATTGTTGGTTATTCTCTTATTAAGGAAATGTAAAAAAAAAAAAAGGACCCAAATTTACCAATGAAAGACTGTTAAAAAGACATGAAGAAATTAAGCATTGTTACTCTCTAATGAGAGAAAACCATTATTAAAAGTATGCAAATGGTTAAAAGCACTGTCACCCTATCACGTAAGTAGAAAGCAACGTGTGCACCGAGTTACTAGTTATAGAGGTTTCCCGCTGACGTCACGTATCTCGTAGCAACCATGTTTGTCTGAGTGACCGGCCTCACTGCGCATTGAGCTGCAGTGGTCCTGAGACTTACAACTGATAAGAGGTAAAAGAGTATGGTTGAATTACGTTTGAAAGATTGTGGAAAAGATGTTCATTCGTCTTGCCTCGAGCGTGAAATAAAAGTAGAAATAAAACAAATTAGAGTCTCCATGAGGAATCGAATATTATAATGAGCCACAGACTCTACGATGTGTAAAGTAATTAGTAGGAGCATGTGTAACACGCTTCCTGCACACAGCTACCATAGGGTCGATAAGCAATGTCGATGAAAGTTTATGTCCAAGAATGCAGATATCAGGGATTTGCTAGAGAAGGCGGACAAGGCACTCTACAAAAAAAGATCGAATGACCCCGAATGCCCGTTTTTCCAGTTTTTACCTAAGAAAAATAACATGAGGTACAATCTTAGAAATACGTCAGTCTCTGTCCCTAGAATCCACTCTGAAAGGTTTAAGAACGTTTTTAGTAATAGGATAATTTCTAAATATGACGTGTAATAGTTTCCCTTGCGAGTTTATGTTGTAACTTAGGATATGTGATTTTATCTTAAGAAATAAAGATTATGTGTGTTATGTTGTGATGAAAGCGTCGTATATGTGAACAGAATAATACAGAGACGAGACAAAAAAACATTTTCTCTAACTTTCTGCCGTGCTTTGTAAATAAAACACTCCCGTTTCAGTTTCGTTAAAGTTTCAGCCCAGTTGAACTGAGTGCTCCAGAAAATTTCCTTCCAAGGCGTTTCATGATCAAGAAAGGAAAAAGGGGAAAAAACAAAAAACAAAAGGAAAGTGTTTCTACGTCCTACTCTTTTTATTTGGCTTTACTTCAAAGGCTTTTTAGAAAAATAACACGACAGAACTGTGATACTCTACCAGTTACTTATTTCCCTTGAGTGCTTGCCTTTATATGGAGATGTAGGTCGCAACTTTTCGACCAAAGGCGTGGCAGGTACAAACAAAACCTAAACTAAAATGAATTTTTAGTTGCTCAGGGCTGAATGAATGGTTGGAAACTTTTATGAAAATCATATAATGAATTCAATCAGCAGCTCTCTAATCTGTCCAGGACTAATGAGAACCTTGAGTTGTCAAACATCTCCAATTTCAAGAAAAGGGGATTTTACAAGAAACATTAGAAAACGGTGGCAGATCCTTGCTAAAGTGATCGTGTATTGTGCTTAATAGGTTACCGCTGGACCACGTAGCTAGTGGAATCGCATTTAAGAAAGCCACCAAGAAGTGTCTCTTCCACTGTCTTCGCCAAACAGCCATGACCGGCATGTTCTGATAACGTGTTTCAATCGCAAGAGACACACTGGTGAAAAACCACTCTATCACCAGTGGAACTGAAGTATAAATGGCAAACGACACTAGCAAATTTGAAAACCAATCGCTTTGTAGGTAAATAAGCTGATAAAATAATAACAAACCGTTGAAAGATATTATGGCAGCAGACTCAAACATCATGCTCATGATAGCAATGTCTGCCATCAGTCTTTCGCGGCGAGGAGTTCGAAAGCTTCCCCAGGGAGCTGAGGTTCTTTTCCAAAGCCGAAAGCAAAAGTGGTCGACAACCACCATGGTACTACGTTCCACGACCTCTGTAAAGCCATGAATTACTCCAAGAGTAGCTATGTAAACCAAAGTGTCAAGCTCCGCTTGTAAACCTCGAGTCAAAACGGCAGCACCAAAATACGTTGGCACCAGAAGAACATAGGAATATCCCGGATGAGTAATGTTCCATAGTTGTTGAACAGATACTCGAGAAATAACTTTAGCAATCACGCCAATGAGCGGAACAAAGATTGCAATTAATAATTTGCCGTGGCTTTCTTTTTGTCTGTTGTAGGCTGGGTAGATGAAAAAAATCACAACGTAGGCCAATGAGCACGACAAACAGCCAGGCAGCATAAGTTTAAAAACAAGAATTGCAATTTGTTTTCTTGATCCTCTCCTTAATTTCCATGCGATATAAGAGAATTGTAGACAGGGACCGATAGCAAAGAACACGTAGAATGGAATGTAGAGTAACAAAGACTCTTCGTAAGGCTTTCCAACGGCTTGTAGAGTTACGCAGTAAAGTACATGAAACAAGTACATAATACAGCTGACAAGAAACATGTTCATTTTTAAACCCTGTAACTGGTGCCGGCGGAAAAGGAACAACATATTCCAAAACATCCAGAAATAAAAGACGTTACTTAAAATAACATCGTAAACTGTCGTTATCCACTTCACGTTCAATGGAACTAACCTTACAGGAACAAATGTGCAGGCATTGGCAGTTTTGTAAGAAAGATAAGAGAAAACGATGTATACAGCACTTACAATTGTAGCAGTGAAAAGCGAAATGGATACCCCGATGTACATTGATTTACAAACTGTTCTCAGAAAGGACGGTCTTACTCGCTTCCAAGCCATCGCTCTATCCTCGGAACAATCAGCTTGTAATTCTTCCGGCTCCTCAAGAGAACATGCGTTTATAAGCCTCACATTAATAGCTCTTCCTGCGATATAGTTCGTACTTCTGCTCTCTTCTTAGCCGTATTCATAGTAAATAAGCTCACCGATTGGAGGGTGGTACCATTCTCGCCCTGTGTTTTCTAAAGGATTGAATCCAAATGACTCTATAGTAAAAGCCGGTTCTTCTGGATTGTAATGTTCCATAACACTCCGTGTAAACGAAAATATTATCTTTCCGAACACTTCTATCAGAATACTTCCTGCCATAAATTAGGACATTCGAGAATGGCCGTAGCGAACGTCGCAAAGGCACTAAAACATCAAGTATCGATCAAAAAGATTTACTCAAACTTTACAAAAGAAGAGTTTACAGTTAGACCTTTGCTAATTCACTGGTGTAGAGACCCCATTCTATGGAGTATGGTTTGTTGATTAATATTCTGCGGTTGCTTACTAGGATTATTTTCGGTTCTGTTTAAGCTTTCTACGAATTTTGATTCACAAAGGAAAAACATGTGCCACAAAAGTGTTACACAGCCTTCGATTATTCATGAGTTTTCTAGCCTCAGCAGAAGCTTAGAAGATTAATTTGTCTTGAAGCGTCAAGATGACATTATGAGTTCATTGATTTCTTCTCAAGTGAATCCGATCCTTAAATAACCTGGTATTCATTACAACTTGGGAATTAAAAAAAATCTAGTTTTTAGTTAGGAAATTCTCCCAGCTATCTTTTGACATAGAAATTCATTTTCAACATTTGTGCACTACAAACAACTAAAAGGAAGTATATTGTCTGAAAATTCTGAAACAAACTGCGACCAACTACATCCGGTGTCTTAGAAGAAAAGGTTCAGAACAATAGATTATACCTCGGAAGGAAACTGTATCTTTTTCAGCTTAGAAATCCACGGCTGAAAAGCAAACCACCATTATGTAATATTTCTATAAAAAATCACTAATTCCTGAGGCAGATTCCTTTGTATGCTTACTCGAAAGTCTGGTTTTCTCAGCATGCCAGGAAGTATTCTGATAGAAGTTAATTTAGTCCATTTTCACTGCATTATTTTGCAGTGGGGAATGACTAGAAAGGAACATACGAACCATTCGTGCAAGTCCACCCTCCCACCCATCCCACCCTAGGGGAGGATATCCATCACACAGTTATGGATGTCCTTAGTGTTTGGAAAGATAGCATTTTCTTTCACACGGAGTGTTATGGAACACTATCATCCAGAGGAACCAGAGTTTACTATAGAGTCCTTTGGTTTAAGTCGTTTAGAAAGCACGGGACTAGAATGGTACTACCGTCCCGTTGAAGAACTTATTTACCAAGAATACAGCAACGAAGAGACCACAAGCACGAACTACCTGGCAGTTAGAGGTATAGATGTGAGGCTCATAAACGCATGTTCTGTGGAGGAGCACGAAGAAGTCCAAGATGAAAAGCCCGAGGAAAGAGCGATAGCCTGGAAGCAATTAAGACCATCCTTTATGAAGACAATTTGTAAATCAATGTACATTGGAGCTCTAATATCGCTTATAACTGCTTCTGTCATAGGTGCAATATACTTGCTGTTCTCTTATTTCCTGTACAAAACCTTGCTTAGCTGCGTGTTTGTCCCAAAGAGGTTTAACACGGAAAGCATGCAGTGGATTATTACAGTTTGGGATCTAACTGTTTCTCTCATTTTCCATTTTGGTTTATTTTGCAATACTTTGTTTCTTTTCCGCCGACACCAATTACATGGTCACTAGGACCATGGATCAGGGATCAGGATCATGGATCATGGATCAGGACTAGGATCAGTGCCACTATGACGAAACTTTTTGTCTCTGGTTTTGATATTTTTTAGCGCCAATCAAGTTACTATGGTTAGAGTTGTACTATGCGATAGTTTTTAGGTCGATGGAAGGGAAATACGCCTTGATATAGCTGGCCGAAATTCACGAAAAACCCGTCCGCCATTACTCAGCTCGCAACCGAGAGCCAGCGACTGAACTGAAAAGCGGTTTTACGCATGAGTTGGCCTGTGACGTCATATGCGCACTTTCGCATCGTGCTTCGTGTGTTGTGAGAGATTCCACAGTGGAAATTCTAGGCGTTTTATAAGATGTATTCTTCCTCGAATTCTTCTTCCAAATGGCATACAAATTTAGCCACGTTTTTTAGGTCGAGCTGCGCATATGACGTCACTTCCGAAAGGCTCCAACTAGTGCCAACTCTTTTTGCCACACTCGGCCATTTTTGAATTGAGTAATGGCGGGCGACCAAAAACGAAAAACAAGGTCGAAATAATCATACTTTCCGTGAGAATTTTGCGATTAAACCTGGCATGGTAAGTGTTTCTTACTTCTAGTTTCCAGAAGTGAAAAGAAAAGGCAATGCGAAATTTTTATCAAAGTGACACTTTAAAAAAACGCTTTTCTCATATCTTTTGTAATGTACTGCTTACATGCACTTTACAGTGTCATTCTGCAAGCCGTTGGTAAGCCCTATACCTGGCTCTCTCCTTTATATAGAATTCCAATGTACCTACTCGTTGCCATGGGACCTTTTCTGCAGTTGTGGTACCTTGCTAAAAGCTTTGGAGTGAGATCCCGAAAAAAAATGATCATACACCTCTGTAGACTTATGCTGCCTGGATTTCTGACATACGTAATCGCCTTTGTTGCCATTTATGTCATCTACCCAGCTTATCAAAAGCAAAGAGGGCATGGCAAAATACTAATTGCAATTTTTGCTCCTCTCATGGGGTTTATATCGAAAGTTCTTTCGCGAAGTTCTGTTCAACAGTTATGGAACATTATCCATCCAGGATTTTCCTATGTCTTATTGGTGCCATTGTATTTTGGTGCCGCCTTCGTGTGTCGACTTTTACAAGCTGAACTTGACGGTTTGGCTTACATCGTAGTGCTTGGAGTGATTCATGGAATTACCGAAGTTATAGAGCGCAGCAGAATGGTGCTTATTGATCACTTTTGTCATCAGCTTTTGAAAAGAAAGTCAGCTCCATGGGGAGCAGACTTTCTTTTCTTTTTCTATCAGCCTTTATCCATGGGGAAGCGTTCGAACGCCTCGCCGCGAGAGGTTCATAGCCGACATCGCCATCATCAGCATGATGTTTGAGTCTATTGCGATAGTTTCTGTTAACGGCTTTATATTTTTCTATCAGTTCATCTATTGACAAAACGATTCCTTTTCAAACTTGATTCTGTCACTGATTCTTTATACTACAGTTCTACTGGTTATTGAGTGATTTTTCACAAATGTGTCTCTTGCGATTGAAACACGTTATCAGAACATGCCAGTCATGGCTGTTTGGCGAAGGCAGTGAAAAGGCACGTTTCAGTGGCAGTAGTGAATGCAATTCTATTGTCCGCCTGGTCCAGTGGTAATCTTTTAAACGCGGTTAGTAATGCAGTCATCGAACAACGCCCTAAATTGAACTGCACTTGCAAAATGTGGTTTCCGTAAAGTTCTGAAAATAAGAAAAACGTTCTAGCAATCCATAAACGAAGACTTTCAACCAAATACTGTTTCCCATTTTTCTACAGAACAGAGCTACCTGTACAAGTTACGCAAATATATGAAGAAAGGCAGTAAAATTTCAGGATGGGTTGATTGTAAAAAGAAAGATGATGGATTCCTCAGTGGCGCGTGATAAACAGCCCCCCGGTCCCACGAAAATTCAAAATGTTTATGTTTCGGATATCAGGGTCTCGTTTTCGCTTAGTTTACAATTCCTGGGATTCTAATCGGATACATTTTTTATTGGGGTACTCCTCTTTAAGTGATATGTCACAGATTTTGGATTTTCAGCTAAATAGTGTTAGAAATTAAAAAATAAAACTGTTGTTTTCGTGAAAACTTCTAAAAACGAATCAAAGTAATTACCTCAGCCAATATTAACGAAATATTACCTAATTATTAGTCAATGAGGTTTCAAAGCAAAGACAAACAAACTACCAAAAGTGTGGGGAAACGTGGGCGACCAAGTCACGATTCATTTTCGTTCGGCGTCTGATTTGTTTAGCACATTGTACGCGTTTTTAGACAAGACAGATCGAAATAAAGGAAAACAAAAGCAATATTGAATTACTTCAGTTTTACACTCAGTTTAGAATTACTCTACATCATAATTTCAATCAACCCACGAAAACCTGATGGCAACTCACTGACTTAAGCTCATCCAAAGTGAACGACCTGTGACTTCTAAGAATCTTTGTTTCATCTAAAGCTTATTTTTTAAGCTAAAATAGAATTTCGTCGAAAATTCCTCAAACGTCGCAGTTTTCCCTTATTGAGTTCTGTTTCTCCGGGAAGGTTTTGCTGGTTTGTAGCCATTACTTCTGAGAATCTTTACTTCAGCCTGTAAATGCAACCATAAAACAAACGAAAATTATTGAACAAAAATTTCACGTTTCCCAGGAGATGGTTCTCCGCATATAGATTGGAAATCGCAATGTTTATGGAGAGAAAAAAAAATCCGGAGGGCTCGACGAACAAGGTCTTGGATATAACCCGACCGGACCACAATGGTAGAAGGCAAGTGTTCTCACAACAATACTTTCGATTCCCTGCACCCCAAATACATGAAGTCGATTTCATATTCAACAGGTGTGACTTGTAAATAACTTTGACTTTAGCATGTATGCCTTGCAATGTCCTCCTACCGAGCGACTCTTGTTCAAATACAAATAGCCTTTCTTAATATACAGGGCTCTACACTGACGGTAGCCAACTAGCCACAGACTAGTAGAAATTCAGTTTTGGCTAATCGTTTTCGATTTCCACTGTCCAG